TTAGCATTTTTCCCTATTTTCCGATATTTACACCCATTTTGGTTCTTACTTACACTTGAAGTGTGTCACATCAGAGAAACACTGCAGTATTTATATGTATATGTGCAGGTGTTCCACTTAAATGGTCTCAGAGTCCATTCATTTAGCTGGAAATGTCTCACACTTACTCTTTATGGCAGAGTAGTACTCCCTTGTATAAAAAGCCACATCTTTATTGTTTCATCGGCTGGTGGGTATTTGGGCTATTTTCAAGATTCAGGTATTACCAACTATTCCACTATAAACATGGGTGTGCACATAACACTGTCGTATGACGCTTCTAATTATTTTGGGAGGATAGCACGAAGGAGAATAGCTGGATCCAGTGGGACCGCTAGTCCTAGCTTGTTGAGGAGTCTCCACACTGATCTCCACAGTGGTTGCACCAGTCTGCACTCCCAACAGTGGAGAAGGCCTTTTTCCCCAGAGCCCCACCAGCATTTGTTACTGGTTGATTCCTTAATGATAGCCATTCTTTCTGGATCTAGGTGGGATCTCAGTGTTGTTTTAACTGACATGTCTCAAATGACCAGTGATATTGAATAGCTTTCCATACACTTATTTGTCCTTTGCACTTCTTCATCTGAGACGTGTTTGTTCATTTTAGACTGGGTCTTTAAATTTCAGCAGGCCAGGGCTGGGAACATAGCTCAGCCGTTTAAGTGCTTGCCTGGCAAGTGCAGGGACTGTGGTTCAATACCCTATACCACGTGCTGTGCTGGGTGCACTGAGCCAGCCCCCAAAACCGGGCGTGGTGGCGCATGCCTGTAACCCCAGTGCTGGGAGGCTGAGACGGGAGGGTCACAGTGAGTCCAAGCTGTGAAGCAAGACCCTGTACCACATAAATAAATAAATAAATAAATAAATAAGTGATCTTTTTTAAAATTAAATTTTAGCAGTGATTTTTTTTGAGTTGAGTTGTCTCTGTTGGGGTTTCTTTTGCTGTGCAACAGCTTTTTAATAAGATGAGGTCTCAGTTGCTGATTGTGTCTGATCAGGGCTTTTTTCAGTCTTTTGCCTTTATCTGTGGCTTCAAGAGTTCTACTGATTCTGTCTTGCAGTAGATAGTGTTTCTATCTTAGTATATAGGTGTTTGATCCATTTCGATTTTAGTTTAATGCGTGTTGAGAGATAGGGGACTAGTTTTAACCTTCAGCATGTGGAAAGCCAGCTTCTCCAGCAGCACTTATTAAAGAGGATATAGGAAGTGCGCATGGAGCTGATCGTTGGAAGGGATGTGCAGGCCCCATTGGGATGTTGAGTTCAGTGTGTCCCACATGCCCAAGTGGAGATGTCTGGGGGCCACTTGTTAAAAAGTCTGGAGCTCAGCTAGAAAGCTTGGGTTTTGTGGGCAGAATCTGCAGTAGCTGTGATTGTGAGGTTCCCATGGGGAACTTGGGGCATCAGAGGCTAAAGGGTTGCCCTGTGCTAGAGGCAGCAAAAGAAGAGAAAGCCAGAAAGTGCTGAGGAGGGCTCGAAGGATCGGAGGAGAATCAGGACATAGGTGCTGTGGAAGCTGTGATAGAGGCGACCCTGCACTGTCTGCTGATCACAGGGGCAGAGTGGGACAGCATGCCCACTCGGCTGGAACCCAGTGGGCCCTGGGCCCTGGAGCAGGGATGGGGGTGGAAGAGAGCTGAGAGCTGGGGAACAGAGACACTGAAGCGAGGAGAACAGTGCGCACACCCCTACGCTCCTGCTTCAGGGCAGGCTCCTTGTGTGGCTGCTTTGGGCCAGAATTTGCTTTTTTAAGAATGGTTGTGATTTTTTTTTTTTTTTTTTTTTTCTTGCTAGAAACCTTAAGGCCTTCAAGATCCTTTCAGTGACCATGGCAGCATTTCTGGTAGCTTGGAGCCTGGCAGAATAAGGACTGGTGATGTGCTAGTCCAGTGTTTTGGTGGCATTAGGTAGGCAGTGCTGTTATTCCCAGGCCTTTTCTCTGGGCCTGTTCTTGTCTCTGTTTTTTAGCTGTACTGCTGGATGACAATGGTAAAAAACAAAGCAAATCATCATTTTGCCCTGAGCATGGGCTCGTCTTCCGCACTCTCTGCAGCTCTCTGCCGAGGTCCTTGTCGCCATCCAGCTGAGCAGGTGACCATTATTCTCAGTCCTGCTGTGGTCAGAGTGGTGCTTGAGCCTCTGAGGGCTTTCCTTCTCAGCAGGCGCTCTCCTCCACTCCTCGAGGGCTCCCTCCTTGGCTGCCTGTGGAGTGGCTGGCCCTGTGCCCGGCGTGGTCCCTGTGTCTGGCTGTCATGCTGCGCTGAGTGTGGGAGCCTCCGGGGCCTGCTCAGTGGGGAGGGGAATCCAGTGATTTCGGCCTGTCTGCCTGGTCTTTCCTCTTTAGCGTGTGGGCTGTGACACCCACCCCATGATTTGCTGGAATTCCTTGCCTATTAGTCTGGTCCTTTTTTTAGTTCTAGACTAAACTGGAGCTCAACCTCCACAAGCTTTTTGACAGACTGCTTCTTCACAGTTGTTAGGAAGGGTCTGCAGTCCCTGCTCCATGGGTTTCTTCTAAGGTCAGGCTGATTGTATTCTGCTGGCCCCTTCCTTTGCTCCACCACGGCTGCACCCTGTCTAGGCAGTCAGGGCCTGTGGTGTTGATGTGGGGAACAGACCCTTTGAGTACACTCTCCTGGCATCCCCCTTATTTCTTTCCCTGCAAGTATTCTGGTGGTTCCCTCCCTCACCCCAGTTCTTCTCGAACCAACATCAGACCCAGCTGGAGCAGGTCCCTGCTGTTCTTGTTGCTCTCCAGTGCCCAAGAAGTGACACCAGTCTTGGCTGTCAGCGCCCAGGTGCCCCTCCCAGCCTCATGCCTACCTCTAGCAGCAACTTTCTCTGGCCATTTGCGAGTGCTGTTTCTGGTCTGCCTAGAAAGTCCTCAGGGCCCGGGGCCCAGGCTGCCTCCTCTGTGAAGGCTCTCTGAGTCTGCAGTGAATGTTGGGAGGATTGTACGTAGCGCTTGCTGCTGCCACCTCAGTAACAACAGCTACGTCCGGAGAATTGCTGTGGGACACACCCCCATCCCTCTTTTTTTTTTTTTTTTTTTGTGGAAACTGGGGATTGAACTCAGGCCCTTGCACTTGCCAGGCAAGTGCTTATTCTACTGAGCCCTCTCTCCAGCCCTACCTCTTATTTTTTGAGACAGGGTCTCAGTAGTTTCCCCAGGCTGGGCTTGAATTTACAGCCTTCCTGCCTCAGCCTCCCAGAGTTCTGGGATTGTAGCTATGTGGCACCACACCTGGCTAAACATAGCAGCTTTGATGACTTCAGCTTTCACTGTTTCTGCAACCTTGGACAGATCATTTACTGTCTCAGCATCGGTTAATCTGGGGGTTAAATGTGCTTGTCGCACAGGAAACAAGTCCTAAGTGGTAGCGGCTGCCGCTCTAGATGTTAAATCTCCTCTCAAGCTGCAGCCCTGCTGTTGCTCCTGCTCTGTAGACCGTGAGACTGGTTTGGGCCCTGGGTAACCTGGACTGCTCCTCAGACAGGGGCTGTGGGGGTTGTGGCTGCCTCGCTGCTGGAGCTCCAGAGCCAGATTGAGAAAGAAATGTAGACACTGCTGCCGCACAGGGGTTGGAACCAGAGTCTCCCTGCTCTTTGAAGTTGTGTCCTGTTCAGCAGGGAGCTGTATATTCCCCCTGACAGATGATAGCAGTTACGTTTAATGGTGACCTTAATCCCTTGCATATTGGAAAGCGGCGTGTGTTTATTTTCCTTCCCCAGCTGGGCCATACATAAGTTCTGGGAGGGCTGAGGACTGTACTTTTTCTGCCCCGTGACAGGCCTCACTCATTTTATTTGCTGACATAGCAAGTTAATACTTCATTTTATTTATTCATTTATTTATTTTGTATTTAGGACAGGGTCTACTGGGTGTTCAGGGTCTCACTGCGAAGATTAGGACTCGTAGTGATCCTCCTGTTTACAGCCTCCCAAGTGCTGGGATTATGGGCTCACACCACCACACCCAGCCTTAATTGCTGTCTCAGTGCGCCCTGGGGGCGGGGCCAGCGCAGCAGGCCTGGGCAATGAACTCCTGGCCCTTGTGTCTGCCTAAGCAGGCGCTTTAATCCGCTGAGCTACTTGGCCAGCCCTAATACTTCATTTTAATCTAAAAAAAAAAAAGGAATTCTCAACCATTTTTAAGTGATGACCAACTGACCAAGATGATTTCATCTTTACTTTTTTAAATATTGCATTAAACATTATTTTCACATATCCTAAGTAAAATTACCATACCACATCAATTTTTTTTATTTTTTTAATGTATTTAGCACAAGGCCTGCGGGGTCTCACTACACATACTGGATTTATAGTGATCCTTCCTGTGTGGTCTTTTTTTTTTTTTTTATCCTTCCTGTTTTTCAGCCTCCCAAGTGCTGGGATTACAGGTGCAGTACCACCATGCCCGTCCCGTTCGCTGTCTCAGCATGCCCTGGGGGCAGGGCCAGTGTGGCAGACCCAGGATCGCATCCCCAGCCCCTGTGTCTGCCTAAGCAGGCACTTTAATCCACCGAGCTATCTGGCCAGTCCCTCAAATACATTTTAAAACTGCAGCTCAGCGAGATGTGATAGTGCACACTTGTAACCCCAGCACTCAGAGGCTGGGGCAGGAGGATCCCTTCAAGTTCAAGCCCAGCCCATACTACATAGCAAGACCCTCCTGTCTGTCTGAAAAAGACCAAAACCAAAATTAAATGAAACAAATTCTGTGCCTCCAGGTCACGGCATCCTGTCCGCTCTGTAGGGGTCTGGTCTGTCAGCCCCTGAGGTGGGAGGCTCTGGTCTTTGTTCTCTGTTCCTCTTCCCTTGCTGCACACATGGAGAAACTGAGGGCCCTGTCGTAGTGCTGCTCCCACTTTTTGTCTGAAGTACTTTTCTGACTCAGCGTGGTTAGGACCCAAGGTCCCCGCCAACTCAAGTTTTAAACGCTTTGTGTTTGTCTTTGGCAGGGCTGAAAAGCTGCAGCTGCTGAACCACCGGCCGATGACTGCTGTGGAGATCCAGCTGGTGAGTGGGGCTGCGTCGGGGGAGGCCTCGAGCACCCCGGTCAGCGAGGCAGACCTCAGCTTAGCTTCGGCTGCTTGGTGCCATGTGCTGGCCAGGCCCTGCCTGCCCCAAGGCTGCTGCTGGCAGCTGCTGCTAGGACTGAGCCGTGGGGCTCCCCTGCTCCCGGCAGCCCTGCTGCTCTACTATAGCAGGCACTTCCTCTCCACAGCCCTCCTTGCTCAGTTGCTGCCAGCTGCAGGCCAGAACCCCTTTCCTTCAGCTTGGGCCATCTCCTCTTGCTCCTTTTCCTCTTCCTCCTGCGTGGCAGTGGCCCTTGTTTCCAGCATCCTGTCCTAACCCAGCTCTTGTCTTTCCCGGCCTGCCCTTCTCCCCACGTCTGTGAGCGCCTGTCTGACACCCAGTGTCATGGGCTCCACAGCACATCACCGCCCTCCCTTTCCCTCCTTTTCCTGCATTAGATGGGAACCTCCCTGTGGCCTCAACGTGGGAAGTCCCAGCAGCACCCGCAGCGTGAGGCGTGGGCCACGTGCCTGGTGCCAGGAGTGTGGGGTGACGTCCAGTGATGTGAGGGCCCTGCCCTGTTGCTCCCACAGCAGGTCCTCTGCGGCACAAGTGAGGAGCAGGTGATCTGACTGCCGGTGAAAATCACTGGTGTGGGAGCTCAGGGAAGGAAAAGAAAAGAAAAGAAAGCAGTTTCCCAAGTCAGTTTAGACGTCGTCAGCTCTGTCAAATTTCCTTTAGAAAAGCATGGAAGAAAATAGCCCGAAATACCCACGATCTTGAGTTTCTCATTGAAATTTTTTCAAGGATAGTGTTGCCTAAAGCTTTCATTGCCTTCATTGTTTCTGACCTCCAGAATATACCCAAATTAGATTAGCAAAATTCCTTCCATAGAGGATGCCTTTCGGGAACCAGCCTCCCAGTTAAATAGAGGGCCCTCTTTGTGTGTCCTGTTACTCTTATGCTTTAGACTGTTGCAGATTCAACTTACAGGAGAGAAAACAGAACAGCAAGAAACCAATCCCTTTTCCCCCTGGGTTAAAGATCACATGTTGCGTCTCCTCCAGCCCTAATCAGCAGCATATGTTACCATGGCTGAGGGACAGATGGCGAGGGAAGGTGGAGGACAGCGGGACCGCACTGCGGATGGAGCCTTAGAGAGCTCTCATTGTCCGGGAAGATTAGCTGCTATTAGGGGACCTTGCTCCCAGGGGCCGTATCCGTGTCACTTCGAATGTCCTTACCACAGTGTTAGAGGGGACTTCGGTTTTCTTTGCTGTGGCCTCGAGGATTAGGGTTTTCTCCAAGTCTTTCCTTTCTCCTCTCAGCCATGTTCTGTGGCCTGGTGCCTCCGTAAGGGTTGCAGGGAGGCAGAGAGCTGGGCCAGGATTTATCAGAGGAGCAACTCCTTTGGTGATGGAAGCCGAGCCCCACACAGGCCTGTTGTGCAGGCTGCAGAGCTCAGGATCTGAGCGACACTGCTTGGGCCAGGTCTGCAGGCGCTGGAGCCAAGCCCCAGGACCCTGGGCTGCTGGTAGGTGCCGTGGGGCAGCTCTGGGCAGTGCGCCTGGAGTGCTGATGGCCAGCAAGGAGCAGCATGTCCAGCCCTTCTGACCTCCGCCAGTGGATGATGCCCCACACGCAGGGCAGGTTTGCCCCATGCAGCCCACCAGTCTGTCCCAGGCCACCCACAAGAGGCTCACAGTGCTCAGGTGTTCCAGTTCAGCCAGGGCAAGGTCGCTGGCATACTGATGCCGAGCTCCGCCAGCGCGCCTGGCACGGGAGGGAGGGGGTACCGCCCAGGTTGCCCCCTTCTCCTGTAGAGCAGGCAGCCTGGGTGCAGACCATTGCCTCCTAGCAGTGGCTCCCTGTCAGCCAAGTCCCACTCCTGAGGATTTATCCACAGAAGGTGGCAGGTCATCTACAGGGTAGGGTAAGCAGTGAGAGCTTCCCATAGTGAGATGTGCAGCTAAGCCAAGAGTCCCCTGTGTGCTTCCTGGTCCCCAGCAGCAGCCACGGTGTCCGCACACGTTAGGGTTCAGTCAGGGGCCTGGGCGTCTTTGGAGGCTGAAGTTCACTCCATTCGCTAAGCCTCTGCCGTGACCTTCTGTGCCTGCCATAGGCGTAAGATTTCCCAGGTGACCTGTGCTCAAAGTTTCAGAGCCAAGCATACTTGTGCGTGCCTGTAGTCTCAGCTACTCAGGAGGCTGAAGGAGGATTGCAAATTTCAGGCCAACCTAGGCAATTTAATGACATACACCCACCTGCAAAAGGTTCACCGTTTCTCTGTAGTGCCGTCTCCCTGCAGTGCCACAGGCCCTCGGCCCTGCGGTACATTTCACACGCCAGCCATCGCAGGGCATGTCGATTTGGGCAGCCAGGTTGAGAGTCCAGTTCTGCCCCTTGCTTTGCAGTGAAGATTAAAAGAAAGAATGGTGTGAAGCACAGGGGCGCCACTCCGGGCACACATGGGCCCCTGAAAGAGCGCCTGCAAACTGTTTAGGTAGTGACAGCAGAACTGAGAAGAGAGCTGCGAGCCTTTTGGCACCGAGCGGGCAGTCGAGTTCTTTCCAGTACAGATGTGTCACGAAATCCAGAGTGTGGAGCGTGTCACTTCACCCTTGACCTTTCTTGTATATGCAACACCTGCTTCTTGGTGCAGATGTGGATGGTGAGAGCAGTCAGGGCTTTCCTCTCCCTCGTGCGCCTCTGGAGCCTGTGTGCTCGGCCCTGCAGTGGCACCTGGTGGAGAGGCTTGGAGATCCAGGTGCTGACCGCTGACTCGGCAGGGCTGGCTGGGCTGGAAGCTCCTGTCTGCTAACGGAGTGTCGTCTTTCCTCATGCAGATGGTGGAGGAGACGGAGGAGCGGTTCACGGAGGAGGAGCAGATCGAAGAACTCCTGCACACTGTCATGAGCATCCTGCCTGCCGAGCCAGAGGCTGAGCAGAATACTGGCAACAGCGCCAAAGCGATGGATGAGGAAGGCGCAGCCTAGAGGAGCACCAGGCCAGGGTGCTCAGGGGCTGCAGGGCTGACAACTGTGTCGTGGCCATTCAGAGCCTTTTGTGTGCTTTTTCCATCTGTCCCACCAGCCTGTTTTCGTGGTTAGTGGGGGAAATCACAGAAATAAGGCAAATAGATCCATTTTGGCTTTGGGAGAAGCAGTGAACTCAGGCTGAGGAGATGGGGCAGGGGCTAGAAGGGAAGACAGTGACTGGCTGCTGGTGGGAGTGATGCTTCCTGTGGCCTTTGCTGCTTGAGGAGCCCTCTGTGCACGCAGATGACGAAGCACTTGCAGAGCCTCTGATGAGCTGTGTGGTAATTGCTTTCATCTGCTTTCCTAGCTGTTGATGAGAGCCGAATTGTGAGAACCCAGTGAGAGGGCCTAGAGCGCAGAGCAGCGAGCAGTCGCTGTGGGTTAGGCCAAACTGCACTGTGCTCGCCCCGAGGGTGTGTCCTCCAAGGAGATGCGGGGTGAGGCGAGGACCGGCCTCCCAAGGGCTCGTCTGTGGTCTCGCTCTCCTAGGCATTCGTGACCAAAGGACCTGGCATCAGACCGTAGTGCTTTCTGCCACCATTTCCTGTCCTGAGCCAGCCTAGCTGGTGGGCAGTGACATGGCCAGGAGAGCCTCACTGTGTAAGGGGAATCAATGTGCGCCTTTGAAGGGGCACCCTTGGGCAGTTCTTCCATAAACAGAGCAGGAGACCCTCGATCAACCAAGAAGGATTTGCATTTGCTGTTACAAGGTTGCATCTGTTTCTGAATTTAAAATAATTACCACGCAGAGACCACTTGATATTCAGGCTTTGCAGAGCTTGGAGCTTGCAGACATGTGGTTGCCCATCTCTGCTCCCTGTTTGGGGAAAATGCTCATGAATACTAATCTGCCGCTTGGTGCTCATTTTGCTCTAAGATTACATATTTCAGTGCTGTTACTTCAGTGACTTTCGATCCCCTTGTAATTCCCAGTTGATTTCAGACTTCCCCACTGCTGCAGTTGATTACAGTTACTGACTTTACCATCCGAGGAGTGGTTGAAGTCTTTAGAGGCAGTGCTGACAGCCACAGGTTTAGGGGTAAGTCTTTCTCCAGTGTGGGGATCCAGTCCAGAGCTGTTGATCTGCTTGTGCCTGTGTTGTTTCTTTTTAACCTTATTAAAAAAGTGTTAGATGGTTTATTTTGATGAATTTAGGGTTACATTAGTGGGGATAAGTTGTTTCCAGTTGTTGCCAGTCTTTGCCTTTGCTTTGAAGAATTTACATTGTCATACACTGAGAAATAAAATGACATCTGACTTAAAGGCTAAGATGTCTGATTTTTTTTTTTAAAGTTAAATACTGTAAATTTTTTTGAAAAATTTATTTCAATATTTGAGACCTGAATTTAGCCTCAGAAAAAAACAGTCCCTGGAAGACTTAACCTTTACAAGAGACATGATGTGGGGAATCCACTGAGATTGCATCATTTATTTTATTTTATTTTATTTATGTTTTTGCAGAAGCAGGAACAAACTCAGCACTTGCTAGGGAAGTGCTTATTCTACTGAGCCATCTCCCCAGCCCCACTGAGACTGCTTCAAAGCTCAGGGGTGTCTTAAGGACACCTGAGAGTGTGACCTTGCTTGTGTAGCGCGGGCTCACACTGGGATACAGTTAGGTAACCATGATTTAGCACAGGTAAGCATGCACGTGTTGGTTATAGTGCCATGTAAGAATGTAAACGGGAGACAACCTGTGTAAGAATTACACAGTAAGGATGCAGGCATGTTTCAAGCCCGGGAATGACTTCGCACGTGGCTTGACGAGGGTAGCACTGTCCACTGTCTGCCTTCTGCTGTGGCTCCTCAGCTCCATAAAAGATGAACACATAAGACCTCCATGAAGGTGACAGCACAGCAGTGACACCTGGATTTGACACCCCTGTGTCAGAGGCTGCAGGAAAGCCGTGTCTGCAGTTGCCCACCACGGAAGCCTCTTAGGCCTGTGACACCATGGGCCACACTGGACAGGTGCTTCGTACACTTAGGATCCCCACGGGTTAAAAACACGTATCAGACCTGGATCTCAGACACCCCTACAGTGGGGCGCTGGGGGCCTTATGCACTGGTCTTGATGATACCATGAGCAGAAGCGACAGACCTTGCCTTCCAAGTTAGAGCCCTGATGCACATAGGGCTCGGGCCCCACATGTCACGCGCCAGGCATTGATGAAGATAGAACTTCCCGAATAGAAAAAGTGGCTTTGCAAAGCCACCTAGCCCCCGACTTGCTAACCACGACCCAGAGTTACTTGCACGCCCTTAAGTGTAGAATGTTACATTCATAACGCTGGCCACCAGACAGAGATACAAAAGTCTTATAAAAATAATAAATGCAGAGGTGTCTGCCGTCCAAGCCTTACAGCAAGATCCAGACAATAAAAACGCTGCTGCTGCTGTCTACTCTTTTCTCTGGATGCCTCATGCACTGAAATCCCCCATCAGTCCCATGACCCCAACACCCTTCTAAACAGTTGGATATTTTTGTTTTGTTTTTAATCTTTTTGAGATGGTCTCTAGGCAGCTCAGGCCAGCTTTGAGCTCACTTTGTAGTCCAGGCTGGTCTCAAACTCACAGCAATCCTCCTGCCTCAGCCTCCCAAGTGTTGGCTGGGATTACCAATTTGAATTTTGACCATGTGTGATTTATTCTTTGCAAAGACAATGTGTAATTCTGGTCATGCTGTCCCTGGAGGTGATGTGAGTGATTGTCCTCACTGGAGGCTGAGCCAGCTGTTTCCCTCCCTTGTCACAGGCAGTTCAGGTAGAGTAGCATCTGCCTGACCCGCGTCCCCACAGCAGCTTGTCGCACATCCGGGTCACCATCATCCTGTGAGTCTTCTTATTCTACCAGCCAGCTAAGGAGCAAACTCATGTGCGGAGGCTCTCCTAAGAGAAAAGCTCTGGTTTTTAATTTGGAAAATTTGGGGGTTGCTTGTCATGAGGTGCTGTTGAACTCTTAAAATTAGACACTCCATTGCACTTTACTCACGGCTCTTCTTTGCCTCTTTTCCTTAATTCCACATAACAAGCCAGGTGTTGCATACCTGTAATCCCAGAACGATGGGAAGCTGAGGCAGGAGGATTGAAAGTCGTTCACGCCCAGCCTGGGCAATTTGGTGACTTAGACTCTTGCTCAAGGTAAATAAAAGGGGAGATAGCAAGAAGGCCCCCAAAATGCTCAACCCTCAGGTCCGTCACAGAGCATATTATAACCACTGCTCCCTCCCAGGGCTCGTCATCTTTCAGGGCTCAGGCATTGTGTAGCCCAGGAAAAGTGAGGGTCCCATGCATGTGTCTTTGGTTGAACACTGAGGCACTGGGAGGAGTTGGCGTGGGCGTCGCAGGCCCAGGGAACCCCCAGACTGGAGCGCAGTGAGCTGGGGATGCAGGCAGGGTGTGAGCTGCTCATCACTTCCGTTTGCAGATGGTGTCGAGCGTCCTCTGATACTGCTTCTCCAGCCAGTGAGTGTCCATCCTGCGCTTAGGGGATTATTTTTCTTATTTTGGCTATAAGAGTGTCTCTTTTGGATACCAGTCCTTTATCAGGACTGCCTCAGCCTTCATTTGTCCTTTTGAGATGTTCTTATCCTGCAATTCAGGCTAGCCTTGAGCTCACTTTGTAGCCAACTCCCAACTAACGATCTTCCTGTCCCAGCCTCCCAAGTGCTGGGATTGTAGGCATGGGTCACCACACCCAGCTAAACAATATTTTCCCTGAGTTTGTCCCTAGTCTTTTCATTCTCTCAGTGCCTTTCACTTAGAAGGGCTTAATTTTAATACAACCCAGTCTAGCCATCTTTGCGCACTTGGCTTGTGCTTCAGACATACCTGAAATTTATCACTGCCACCATGGTCACAGAGATTTTCTTCTGTATTAGGTTTTGGAGCTCAGCTCTTTTACACTTGAAGGTGTTACACAGTTTTGCATTTAGGTCTCTGTTACCTTTCTCATTGTTGAGACAAAATACTCAGCACCCAAAGTTAGAAGAAAAGCATTTGACTCAGTTTGCAGTTTCCATCAGAGTTGGCTGGCTCGAAGGCTCAGTGGCTTGGCAGCAGCATCGCAGGGGAGAAAGGGTCCACAGCAAGCAGGCGGGGGAGAGCAAGCAAGGGACCTTAGCAGCTCCTTTCTGCCCCTTTTATACTCTACTTAGGCTAATGGGATTAGGACAGTGCCAAATCAACCAGTGGACTGATCTCGTAATCCCACACCCTTAATCCCAGCATCACACTCTAGATCCAGCCACCTCTGAGAAAACCTCATCTATGACTGTTGGGGGGTGTGTAGATGCAAACCGTAACACTCTGCGATCCATTTTGAGTTAGCTTTTGGGAAAGGTATAAAGCCTGTGTCTGGATGTTTTTTTTCCCAATGCATACGGGTGCCCAGTTCTAGCACCCTTTGTAGAAATGTGTGTTACAGGCTATTCTGAAACTGGTCACAGTCCTCCTGCCTCAGCCTCCCGAGTGCTGGGATTACAGGTGTGTGTGCTGCCATGTACAGTCTGGCTTTCCTTCTCTGTCAGAGATCTCTGTATGAGTATTTTTGGACGGGCTCTGTTCTATTCTGTGCATGTTTCTCTGTCCTTTTCACTGCTGCCTTGTTGTCTTTATTACTGTAGCCTTGTACTGAGTTCTGAAGCTACCTCCCCAGCCGTTTAATTTTGAGACAGTGTCTTACTAGGTTGCCCCGGCTGACCGAAATTGGGATTCTCCTGCCGCATTCTCCTAGCTAAGGTTGCAGGTCTGCAGCACCACGCCCGGCTGAGAGCTAAGTTTGGTCAGTGTGTAAGAGCTCAGCTGTGTTTCTCTGCCTGTGGGTGTCGTTTCATGGCAGCATTCATTGGAGCCCTTTCAGTTTTCACCTGGGTTCTCTGTCCTTGCAGAACAGGGCTGTAGACTGTCCCCTTGGCCCTTCTTGAGTGTTACGATTGTCACTGTCTGTCACTGTCATCTCGATCCTTCTTGAATGTTATGACCTAGGAGGAGTGGCCTCGTGAG